CTAGTCAGCTATCCTTAGCTGCTGTATGCAAATTCTTAATGACTCATGACCGAATGCAAGTTGCAAACTGAGGACATTTTTTTTTTTTTTTTTTTAATGTTTCGCATAGAAGTAAAATACAGGCCATTTGATTAGATTCATTTAATTAAAAAAAAAAAAAATTAAAAATAAAATAGCATCTTTGTTTCAAGTAGGAAGGTAGACAAGTAAGTAAAAGACAGACATAAAGTAGAGTCTAGAAAAAAGTATTTACTGTTTACTGTCACTGGCTATGAAGTTTGTCAAAAAATAAATAAATAAAAAAAATACATTGTTTTGAAATTGTCTCTTCTCACTTCTCCTCATTAAGTTCTGCTCAACAAATGAAATTGAATCAGAAGACATTTACATGATTAATTTGAAATAACCACATGACAAATCTTATTTGCAGTTCAACAAAACATTTGGCAAAGTGTGAAACACTAAAGAATAAAGAGAAATTGACTTGTTAAATGAAGAGAAAAAAAATGAAGTTTTTTTTGTTTTTTTTTCTCAACTGACAAACAAGCACATTTCAGAGGAAGCATTGAGGAAAGTCAGTTTTGAAGTTTCAATTCCTTTTCCAATGATGCTGGAATTAGTTTTTGTTTTTTGTCTGCAAGCAAAATAAATTGTACTCACAGAATACAAGTCTTAATCTTTTCAAAGAATCAGGTAGCATAATATTTTTTTTCTTGAATAATTTGGAATCAAAATTTGAGAGACCAATATACACAGATCCAATTCATTTTGTTCTTCTTCAGAATCCACTGAGTAAAAGAAGAGATCTTAAAATGCTTCAGTTTAAATTTTCCATGTAAATTAAAAAAAAAAAAAAGAAAGAAAAGTTTTCTGGGGGATTAATGAAAAAGAAAAAAAAGTATATTTAAAAATAGGCACTGCCAATGTAAATTATTGAAACATTTCCTGTACAAAGAAGCAAAGAGCCAGACATAAAATGCCTGGCAAACTGAGTCAGAGAAAATCAAAAGATGTATTACATGAAAACAATTAAAAAAAAAAGAAAAAGAAATGAACAAAACACACACATACACACACACACAAAAAAAAAAAACTTTGGTGAAAAAAGAGAAAAAATAGTTTAAAAAACAAAACAAAAGAAACTTGCTAAAATTTTGCTAAGAAAAGGAGGGGGGGGAGAGAAAAGAAAAAACAGAATCCCAGCAGCAAAAAGATGTACAAGAATAACATTATGAAAAAAAAAAAAAAAAAAAAAAAAAAAAAAAAAAATGTATGTGTGTGAAGATTGGGGTGGGGGAATCAGTTAACAAAAGAGAAACTTTTTTCTGTAAGGAAACCAATGAAAGTTTCAGGTCCTCTTGCTTTCAATTTCTTTTCCCTCCAGAAACTTTTTTTTTTGTTTTTGTTTTGCAGTAAAGAAAATATGAATAGGTTAGAGTTTGTTTCTCCATTTCAAATTATGCATCTGTAACTTCTGCAAGCTTAACTTCTTCATAGGAAGAAGACCCAGTGCTGTGTTCTGAAGCAGTATCACTTTCTATTTCAACAAGTTGTGGGGACTGTGGCTGCTGCTGTTGCTGCTGTTGGGGTGGAGAAGATGGTTGAAGAGGGAGTTGGAGGGGCAAAGTTGCAGGAGCAACAACATCAACAGGTGTGTTGCTTCTCCCTGCTGCAGCCAATTGGGGGTCAGTTGCAGAAGACTCTTCAGTTCCAAGTCCTGAATCTTGGAGAGTTGACATGACTGACTCACTGAACCCGGACTCTTCAAGATTGGAAGCAACGCTATTCTGCAGGAGATTTTTATCTTCTTGCTGCAAAAGTGGTGTCATTTCTTTAGAAGGGGAGACGTCCTCATCCTGTAACTGGCCATCCTGCAGGTTACCCAGCAGAACCAAATCAGCAGAATCGGGAGTAGCAGGAGTTGTTGCAATTTCTTGTGCTGGAGGAATTGATGCCTCAAGCTCCTCTTCATCCTGAGGCCGAAAGTCTCCAAGATTTTCCCACTCTTGATCATCATCCACAGACACAGGTGAAGATTCGGCTTTCACCAGCAGAGGAGAAGCCACTGAAATAGCTTCCACCATTTCTTGTTGCTCCTCCTTGATTGGATTCTCCATTGCAGGTGTCAGGGATTTCTCTCTACTCACTGACTTGGAGGAATCGGTGAATCCACTCAAAGAACTGCTGTTAAAACATGCAGTTCCTGTGGCTGTGGTTGTAGTTGACAAGTCACTTGCCTCTGTGGAGAATGTTGAGAAACTTCGACCTGATTGTTCACTGGCTGAACAGCTGTAATTGCTGACTGTCTCATTTGTGCTGTCTTCTTCATCTGAACCTTGCTCTTCAGTTGCACAGGACTTGGCTTCTTCAACATAAAAGTCATTCTGCTTGGCCAATGGGGCAATGAAATGGATGTTGCGGTCATCATAAACCTCCAAAATTGGATGGGCACATAAGCGTCGTTCCTGCAAGAGAAACAATAATCGAATGCATTGAAAGTCACTACACAGTAAAATGTCACCCCAGCAAAAAAAAAAAAAAAAAAAAAAAAAGAAGTGGTAAAAAACAAAAGGTACCTGTAAGAAAAATAAAAAAAACACTCCCCCTCCAAAAAAAAAAAAAAAAAAAAAAAAAAAAAAAAAAAAAAAAAAAAAGGAAAGAAAATGGAAAAAAAAAAAAAAACCCCAAAGGAAAATGGAAAAAAAAAAAAAAAAAGGAAATGGAAAATGGAAAAAAAAAAAAAAAGGAAAAAAAAAAAAAAAAAAAAAACCCAAAGGAAAATGGAAAAAAACAAAAAAAAAAAAGGAAAATGGAAAAAAAAAAAAAAAAACAAAGGAAAATGGAAAAAAAACAAAAAAAACAAAGGAAAATGGAAAAAAAAAAAAAAAACAAAGGAAAATGGAAAAAAAAAAAAAAACAAAAAAAATGGAAAAAAAACAAAAAAAACAAAAGGAAAATGGAAAAAAAAAAAAAAAACAAAGGAAAATGGAAAAAAAAAAAAAAAGGAAAATGGAAAAAAACAAAACAAAAAAAAATGAAAAAACAAAAAAAAAAAAAAACAACAAAAAGAAACAGTAAAAAAAATCAAAACTGCCCAACAAAAGGGAGATGTAAGTATTAATCAAAAATATTTATAATTTCTCAAATTCAGCTCAATAAGACAATATGTGCAGATCATTTCACAGTTAGTATCTTAAAATGAGAAATCACAGAGTTCAAATTTCAGTCATTTGTTACCTTCTCTATCAACAAATACTCTTGGGAAAACTATCTACTACTTTCTCTGACCGGTTATGGTTTAAATAGCAGCAGAAACTGTGTTCTCTAGTTTTGGTTGGCAACCAGTCTAAGAGAAGGACAGCTGAATTCAAAAACTGTTGAGTATGAAACTGGAAAGACCACCCCAAAAAAAACTATGGAAACCATGTTAAGAGGTGAGGCTTCCATAGCAAATAGACTTGCAGCACTATTTTCCTCAGGGAAGTCTATTGGCACAGAGGAATTCTTTCTGCATCCATCTCCTCGATATTTTTTGTTTAAATAAAAGAAAAAAAAAAATATCTATGCTTGCTAAAATATTTTTTGAGAAAATATTTTCTCCCTGTATTTCTTATAAGACAAAGAAAATATATATGAAAAATTTAATATAGTTTTGTATTGATTATCTGATCATTGAAGACAAGAAAAGCAAAACTGATAACAGCAGTAATGATGAGGACAGAGAAACTCAAGCGAAATCTCTTCGGTTTGTCAAATTTCAAACAGTAAAGAAAAGAGAAATTCATTCATTCTAACCACCCATTACTTTGTGAGGAATTTATTTGCTGGACAGAGTTGATCTCTTTCACCATACTGATGACCTCTTGTCTTTTTAGCAAATTCAACCAGCAGCTTGTGATCTACACTTGTGGCCTTGTGTCATACATCTAAGGTAAGCTTGATCTATATCACTAAGGTAGAGTAAAAAGACTGAGCAGTTAATGCCCATTATTATTCATTACAACAACAATGAAGAGGTCATCTGAAACATTTAATCAACAACTATTTCCTGTTCCCAAAGAGAAAGTCATTATTTTAACTCTTCTCTCTGTTGGATGACAAGCACATAAAAGTTAAATGTCAACCAGTCTGAGTTAGAAGTAACTCATCAATAAAGATATTCTTATTAGGTAGAAAGAGAGAGAAAAAAAAAAAAAAAAAAAAAGGAAGAGAAAGTCAAATCAAAATGTGATTATAAGGGGGTGGGGAACAAAAAAAATAATGAAAATAAGATCTCAGCACTGAAGGCTATATGATCTATAATTCAGTTATTGGGTGATCATTATGAAAAACTTTGAGGAATCTATCTTAAACAAGAAACTTTCTTTTCATGTTGTCAGTCATATAAGATCTCCTTGGAGAGAGAGAGATAGGCTAACATATCAATAAGTGTATCATGGAAGAGTGAATGTTACCAACAACCATTTAGAGCAAAAGTTCTCTGGCATCTTTTTTTTTTTTTTATTCCATTAAGCTAAACTTATGAGGATGTGCAGGTAGTATAACAGATATTGACACAGAAAGTTGAATTGGGAAGCAGAGTTCAAATTCCCATGTGTCCTGTTGCATTTGCACTAATATCCTTAGCATGAATCCATTTCTCTTTCTCAAGTCAGCTATGGGTTAAATAGCAGTATAAACCAATCTAAGAGAAGGAGTACTTTGAACTCAAAACCACAAAGACAAGAGTTGATTGTTTACATTACCTGCATTAGATTTTTTTTTTTTTTTTAATCATTTCACCTCAAACAAGGTGGGAATGACACTAGTATTCAGGAGCTTGCAGTGAGTGAAAGTGAAAGAAAAGATTGAGAATAAGGAGGATTGAGAAAAGGAAAGAAAAATGGGATTCAAAAAGACAGAAGATGGCAATTGATGTTGCATTTAAATTTTTGAAGATTGTAGTTATCACGGAAGGGAGTTCCACAGATGGGAAGTGTTGTCAGAGTAGAAGTGGCGGTTACAATTAGCTATTTCAACAGTAAAATGATAGGACCTGAAACAAAAAATGTTTGCAAACTTTTGTTCTAAATGGATGTTGGTAGCATTTAGTTTCTCGTGATTCACTTATTGATATTTTAGCCTCTCTCCCCAAGGAGATATATGTATTTCCGATTGTAAGATTAATTCACTTTTTGATAGTGAATATTGCATTAATGGTTTTTGGAGAATAACAATGATTTTTTTTCAAGTCCTACTGTTTAACACTTAGCTGGGGAGAGGGGAATGGATTCATACCTTTCCTAAGGATATTTGCATGTAATCTCCAATTTCTCAGTCTGAGCTGCTATCCATTACACCAATCATATATTCAAAAGGCAACAGGAAACCACTTCACAATTTTTGCCAAGAAATCATGGCAATTCACAGATGATACAGAAAAAAGATCTGTGGAGAGTCATGATTACCTAAGCCTTAAAGAAATATGGCATTAAAGAACCCCCTCAAAAAAAACAAAAAAACAAACAAAAACAAACAAACAAAAGCAAAACAAAAAACAGATAAAAAAAACAAAAAAAAAAAAAAAACAAAAAAAAAAAAAAAAAAAAAAAAAAAAAAAAAAAAAAAATACAAAACTGATGTACACATGTTGTTGACTATTCAGAATATAAAAAAATAGAACTATACATCCTATACAATTATTCATGGAATGAAGTCACTTATACTAAATTCATTTCTTTTAGTGTGCCTTCAGGATGTAGACGATCATGGCTCTTCACAACTTCCTATATTTGTTCATCTTTGCCACTTGGAATCTCTTCTTCCTCTGTAAGGAGATTAGATATTACATTACAGTACTGTTTTCTGTGTTTCTAACAAAATTTCCATTGCTCTCTTAATACTTTACTTAGTTTCTAAAAGGTACCTTTCACTATTCCTCTACACCTTTGGATTACTGTGTCACATTTCCATGCTTTTTGTCTTCTTACAGTTAATCTTTTCTTACTTTTCTTTAATACTCTTTCTAAGAGTTTTTTCAATTTTTTGTCTGAGTCTGTATCTTATGATTATGCTTGAAGATCATAAATCCTGGTAAGACTTCTAGTTCTTTTAGGATTGCCTCGCTATATAGGTCAAATAAAGAGATCCTTGTCTTCTGAATCCTCTACATTTGTCTAGTCACTGAACTAAATTCACTAAAGAATAAATACACTAATGACATTGTAACAAATTATTGTTGAAACACTGAATTAGCAGTAAAACTAATGAAATCAGTAGATACGTTTTTGGTGAACTCTTAATGTGCGGATTTGTTTTTGACTGTGCAAGCCACAAGTCTAGAATAATTTTTCTCATTTTGTAAATTGTTGAAAACTGATTTAAATAAGTAATACCATATATACTTGACTTCATGTATAGTGCAATCCCTGATTTTTTAGCATGTATTTTAACCCATCCATAAAAAAAAAACCTGTATATAGTGCATCAGGTCACCAAAAATGAATGATTTTTAAACTTATAAAAAAAAATAAGTTATCTGCATATAGTGCAACCTTACTTTTTGCATTAAAAAACTGATCATAAAAACTCACACTATACTTGAATAAGTATGGCATGAAAATTTTTTCCATTTTTTTCTTACCAACAGAACAATGCCTTTGGCAATAAAATGGCTTCATTTCCAAATTCAAACTTTCATTTACACTTAAATATGGAATTACCAAAGGTTTGAGAACTGGTGAAAGTAGTCATGAAGAATCTAGCACATGGCTATCAAATGAATGAATATATATATATATATATATATATATATATATATATATATATATATATATATATATATATATACACATACATACATACACGTGTGTGTTTGTGTGAATACCACCACCTGAAGAAGCACATACAGTGCTGTAACATGATTGCATTTATGTAGCAGTTTATAACATGTTTTTGATATAATTGTTAATAAATATTATTATTATTAACCTCTACTTAGTATTGAGCACTTTTTGTAAAATTTAATGACATTGGTATTAACATACCTTACACCATTGATGGAACCAATGGACAACTTGCCAAATCCTTACTCAGATAAAGTCTTGAACAAAAATGACAATACTGAAAAAAGGCCTAAAGGGAAATCTACCGAACTCAGGATTGTCTAAGACAGAGCAAAAAATGCTTAAACATGTTGATTTATAAAGAATGGCCCTAGTTGTAGTGCAAGTTTCACGCTCATGGAATCTTCAAATAACTTGAATGCAAATGTAAGAAGGAGTAGGGAACCAGCTTTATAATCTGTGATCTTAAAGCTACACACATTTTATATATATATATATATATATATATATATATATATATATATATATATGGACAACTACCAAACTCCAAGTGTTCAGTTGGGCATCCATGCTTATGCTACAAATTGAAAGACAACTTCAAATGTCTCAACTTTGATCTGAAAACCTGGGAAGCCCAAGCATAAAAACTGAAAGGAGTGGTGTAAGACATGTTTCATCAAGTTAAAGACAGTAGACTGTATCACCATGATCAGCTTCGGCAAGTTCTGAAGCAGAAATGCCATCAAAATCCTGCTTAAACAAATTTCATTTATCAGTGTGGCTTTGTCGCCTGCAACAAGGCTGGGCTAGTATCACACTTGAGAAAGCACAAATGAAATATGTCTTTCCCTTACTAGATTTTCTCCACAATAGCCACAATAAGTGTAAAACAAAAGGTACCATCCAATGCTGACCCTCATTTATTGTTCACAATAGGAGAGTCCACCATATATATATATATATATATATATGAAAGTGGGGGAAAAAAAGTATGTTTTGTCCTTTAGGAATTCAACGGACTAAGTTTATGTTTATATTGATAAGACTACACATGTGGATGAATGAAAGAGATAGTGAGAATTAAAATTTTTTTTCTTCTTAATAAGCATTTTAGGTATATAATCTAGCTGATTTTTGTTTAGATTCGTTTTCTTTTTAGTTATGTTTCCATTATTTTTGTTATTAAATATGCTACATTGTGATCTGATAAGAGTGGTGAAATGTTGTCAGAACGTGGATGCAAATATATCGTAGATAATCAAGCAATTAAAGCACTTTCTAAACATTTTTGTCTTCGTAAATTGTTTTCTCTTTTAATTAGAGTAGCATTTTTTATGTCAAAATTGTGGTCAGTCTCATTACAATGAGCAACTAATGTGTTTAATGGGTTTCTTTTTTTTAATATCCCTTTTGTGTTCATATAATCTTTTATTTAAATTGTGGGTAATAGAGTAAATTCCCCTTCAAGTTTTAGCTTATTGTTTTGTTTTGTATTAATTAGGTCTTTTATTGTTTTAGACATAGTTGTGATAAATTTTATCTTGAGCTTAGATAAATTCTTTTCAATTTATTTGCAATAGAGTTGGTGGGTAGAACAATATATTTTGATTCATTTGTTTTGTCAAGAAGGACTGCTTTTCTATTTTTAAATATTTTACGAGCCTTTTGCTTTACATGGAATACAAAATAGGGTATTAGAGGAGTTTGAAAGTATTTTCAATATATTTCTCCTCTTCATGTAAATGTTGAGGGTTGCAAGTTTTGTGTGCTTATAAATAGGATCCAATGATTATTCCAGATTTTATTTTGTTGTCATGATGGAAATAGAAATTTATGAGATCATTTTTATTAGTTGATTTTTGGAGAAAAATACATTCCATCGCTCTATTTAGGGCAAACATATTGGTAACTCAAAATTTGTTTATAAAAATTGTTAAATGTCAAATAGCATGGATTGGTGATGAGAAAGATTTTTATTATTTTAGCTATGAGTAGGGAATGGTTTAATTCTTATTGTGTTATATGCTTTCTTTTTAAAGATTTAAGCACATACTCACAAACATATATATATATAAATATATATATATATATATATATATATATATATATATATATATAAAAATATTCAAACCAAAAGTGGAGATAATGGGACTAAGTGGAAAAGCTCTTTAATCACAGGTTTCGCCAATGTATGTTAGGGTCATTTTTTCAGGTTAGAATGAAAGACAAACCCAATGCATTTTCCTTGCATGCAGTTTTGTTTTATGAACAAGAGTAGAGGTTTATCCCTTGTTTCTTCTTTAAGATTAAGTTTCTGGTTCATTCTCCTAAAGTCTTATTTCTTTTCCCTCCCAGTAACTCCTTATGTCTTTGTGGCATTATCGCCTTGCTTAGGGTGACATCAAAAAAACAAACAAAAAACCCTGAAACACTTTGTTAATAAAATTTTTTTACCTTGTCCCATTACCTTCACACATATTTCATATATATGAAAAGCAAAACCAGTTAAAAGTAAAACAATTTTAATAACTAGTTTAATAATTTTCTATAAAGATACATGTATTATAAATATTACATATAAAAATATGTAAGAACATTAGGTGTTTTCCAAATCTCATTATTTTCTCTCTCTCTCTAATATATATATATATATATATTAAAAAGAAATTTAAACAAATCAGTTTTCTATATTTCTTAATTCGTTTTTACTATTATAGTAAATTAAGACATTAAGCAACATTTTTTTTTCTCAAACCGACACTATGTGAAAGCGTTTCTTTTTTTTTTTTTTTTTTTGGTTATTAATAATACTTGTGTTACACACACAAACAAACAAACATGTAAAATTGCCTTATACCCTTTATTAATGAAATATCATTCTTACATTGAATATTAGTAAAATAGAGTGCAATTCATAAACAAGTGCTTTGTATTCAAACTTATTTGTAAAAATTTACCATATATAATAAACATTTTAATTAATAACATATCGTGATTTAAAAAGAATGCAGAAAAAAAGACTTGAAGAAAAGTGTTACCTTTAAATATAATCCCAATTGTCGGTAGACTCTGATGAAAGCAATGAAGATGGAGAATGTACATTTAAATGGGAATGTGGTTTTCACGGCATGGCTGATCTCTGGGAAGCGTGTCACATTGTATCCCTCAGCCTTCATTTTACATAGAATTTCTTCATCTGCACTTTCACTCTCTTCAGCCAGGATAGCACCAACAATGTAACGGGTCTTATCAGCAGGAACCTACAAGGACAAGGCAGCTATATAGAATGCAATTCAATAGATTCATCTGGAAGAATAAAATTTCATGACTAAACAGATTCAAACTTTATTTTAATATAAATACAACTTGTTCATCAACATAAACTGAATGAATACAGAAAATAAATCCATTAGCTTCTTTTTCATTGTTAGCCTATTTCTATCCAACACATACTGAGTCTAGAGAGGAGAGACATATATTGTGATAAAATCATATCATCTGAATCTTCTTCAAAAAAAGTAAACTAGACTTGTTAGTCAAATATGGCATTTCTTTTTTTCCTTTCTTTTTTATTTATTTAGCAGAAGACTATAAGAGGAATCTGATAATGGTATTGGTAAATTTTTGTTCTTATTTCTGGTGAAAAGAAAAAAGAAATTGGCAACTGAGTTTTTAACAAGTGGGAAGAATGTCAAGGTGACATATTGTCTGTTGAAACTGGAATCCACCTTTAGCTAAAATTGCATGCTAGACAATATATATTCGCTTCTTTTTCTATTACATAACATTCCACATAGCACAATTCTATAGTTCCTTTACAGTACATGTCACTTTTGCACTGCTGTAACATAGCTTTCCCATTCTTTTTCTATGAATTCTTTACTTCTATGGTACCTAGACTTTATGAATTTAAGTGCAGTACTAGATTGGTGGCAAGGTCTCATCATTTTACAGTTGAAATGGCTATATGTAATCGTAAGTTCTATGCTAACAGTTTTTTCTCTCGCACTTTTTGTTTGTGGAATTCCCTTCTCACTTCTCAGTCAACTTTGATCTTCAAAAACTTAAAAGCAATACCAATCATTATCTTGTCTTTTCTTAATTCCTGTTCTTTTGTTCTTTCTCCTTAATAGTGTTTTTTTTCTCATTCTCTCACTCAGTAACCCTTAGTGGCTTTGACTTGCTTGGGGGTGAAATGATTAAAAAAAATGTATGAAGTAGAGAAACTAGAATTCAAAATGTTATAAGTCTAATCCCTTTTTGTAAATAAATAACAATAATACCAGTTTTATAAAGACTATTAATAGCTTCTTCATGAGACTAAAAGCATTAGCCACAAAAATAATGATAGAGAAAATAATAAGTTCATTATTCCTGTTAGACATTTTGAAAGTAAATTTGTATCACTAAGTTTTTATTCATTTGAGGCAGAAAATTTAACATTTGAAAACTGTTTCACTCAAAGAACAAGACAAAAACATTAAAATATAATAATTAAGGAACTTTAATTTCAAAAGAACCAAGAGAAAAATGTAACTGTCAGATAGAGTAATGAATATTCTTGTTGTGTCTACTTTGAAATTTTCTCACTGATTTCCACATATGATCAATTCTTGTGTAAAAAAGATAAACTGCAGGAAGTTTCATTAAACTTTTTCATTTTATGTATCTTCTATGGATGCAAAAAAGAGAAAAAGCCAGCCATACAAACTGACAAGAAGTGGTTAAGTTTTATTCTCTAATGGTGATACAGACTTCTTTTGCTTAGAAATAAAACTGGTTAAGTGCCAGTGGGTGATCAAGAAACAAAAGTCATTACATGGAGATAGACAGAAGGGTATAAGTAAAGAACTAGGAACTTTAGAAAAATCTATCAAGAATTATTGGAAAATAAATACAAGTATCATTATTATTGAATATTTTATAAATGAAATGTTGTCTCAGGCAATTTCAATTCACTACAAAAATTTATTTTTCTGGTCAGAGAATAGAAAAAGAATTAGATTTATATAAAATATTCTGCCAGGTGGCATTTATAATGAAATTCATAATAAAATTCATTCATTCATAAATGAATAAAATTAACTGAAAAGTATTTTTATAAAATTCTATAAATACAGCTGTCAGAAAGTTTATGTATCTTTTATGTTTAGAAATCAAACAACAAGTCCAAAGAGAAAAACAATAGATTTTGTACTCAAACAACCTTACCTTTGATGGTTAGTAATTTATTTAATTCTATCAGTCAACAGACCAAACATAGAAGTTATTTTTAAGCAATTTATTGTTGTTTTTTTGTTTTTTTTCTTATCAATATATTTTTGGGTACATATGTTTCAGTAGATATCGTTGGATTTTTTTTAAAACAGTAAAATTAATCATTATCAAGAACTAAATTGTTGTTAGCCTTTTAATAATGATTTTACTATTAAAAAAAACAAAAAAAAAAAAACGCAAGGATGTCTACTGAAACATGTACTAATATAACATTTTTTACAATAAGAAACCAAACTCTACATGATGGTCATAAACTAAAGTGTGTGTGTGTGTATATATATATATATATATATATATATATATATATATATATATGGACATATGGATTGTAATATTATCAGCTACTTGTAAATGGAAATAATTGTGAAAAGGATAGTAGAATATGAAAGGGTAAACATAAAACAGCTGGTTTCAACTCTACAATAGAAATAGTAGTGGAACAATTTTTATATTTTATCAAACTATACCAACATCCACCATTAATTTCTTTAGGTGCGTTCTGTGGTACAATGATAACAAGTTAACATCTCCTTGACCATAACTTATAGTCAGTTTGGTTCTCAGTTGGGCTTCATTTAACACGGCCTTGAGCCAAACTGCATTAATCTCAATAAATATACAAAATAGGAACTGTCCCAGGTTAGTTCAATGCTTAAAGCTGAGAGGCATATTTTTCCATTTTTGTTGCTGGGTAGATGAAGTATATTAACTCCTGAAGAAAAATAATATCCCCCACCCCTGTCATATAAAAATAAATTTAAATAAAATTAATGTAACATTTTATGAGGTAAATATTAAAAGACAATCTCCCCATAAGTTTATGTTATAAATAAAACTGACATCATAAAACACATGTACTGACAATGCTAGCTAACCCTAACATTCAATTAATTAAACATGATACCTTTACTATCAATAAAAGTTAATGATAAAAAAAGAAGTTTAGTTGATTTTGTTTATCAGCATATCAACCTCTAGGGGTCATTTCATGCTGAAATCTGAATAATTTGAACAATTTTATGGCTTCTACTAAATATATTTTGAATGCAATTGTATGCCTTCAACTAAATATATTTTGAATGCAATTGTATGCCTTCAACTAAATATATTTTGAATGCAATTCTACTCAAAAATATATTTTGAATGCAATTGTATGCCTTCAACTAAATAAATAAATATTTTTGAATGCAATTGTATGCCTTCAACTAAATATATTTTGAATGCAATTGTATTTCAACTAAATATATTTTGAATGCAATTGTATGCCTTCAACTAAATATATTTTGAATGCAATTGTATGCCTTCAACTAAATATATTTTGAATGCAATTGTATGCCTTCAACTAAATATATTTTGAATGCAATTGTATGCCTTCAACTAAATATATTTTGAATGCAATTGTATGCCTTCAACTAAATATATTTTGAATGCAATTGCCTTCAACTAAATATATTTTGAATACAATTGTATGCCTTCAACTAAATATATTTTGAATGCAATTGTATGCCTTCAACTAAATATATTTTTGAATTTGTATGAATGCAATTGCATGCCTTCAAATATATTTTAGATGCAATAAATATATTTTTTGAATGCAATTGCATGCCTTCAACTAAATATATTTTGAATGCAATTGCAACTAAATATATTTTGAATGCAATTGTATGCCTTCAACTAAATATATTTTGAAAATTGTATAAACTAAATATATTTTGAATGCAATTGTATGCCTTCAACTAAATATATTTTGAATGCAATTGTATGCCTTCAACTAAATATATTTTGAATGCAATTGTATGCCTTCAACTAAATATATTTTGAATGCAATTGTATGCCTTCAACTAAATATATTTTGAATACAATTGTATGCCTTCAACTACAGGTAAAATGTATTGCTGGTCATTTTACTACAAATAAGTATTGCTGGGATTTTTACTATAAAAATGTATTTTTATACTCTCATAGTGTTTTGTTTTGGTTTAGGGGTTCACTATTTGCACATAGCTAGGACCTAACAGGTGCTAACACACCAGATCAGCATGGACCTGGGGGACAGCATCAATTAAGAGGGGGTTCCATGCTCCTCAAAACCTCCAATCTCCCAATCAGAAGCTTTGCTAACAGATGTAGTTTATCATCATACCCAGGATTGATCTAAAAGAACAAGAAGGTTATGATGTTATAAAAAATTATCAAATAATCTTATTTTGAAAGATGGAGGTCATTTGAAATAAGTTTATCTCAATTTGGGATAAATACACTAGAAATGCAAAAATAAATATTTGCTTCGTTTTCATCTTCATGTTTTGATAAATATATTCTTATTAATGTCTTTGGTTTCTTTATTGATTCCATCTGGCTAAATCTCAAATAACACTCTCCCAAAAATAATATTTACTTCTTTCCTTACGTAAATTAAACATTTTAATCAAGTTTTGTTAAATTCAACTGACAAGGCATGTTTGTTTCATTTTTTTTGTTTGTATTTTTTTAATTTTCCATGTTTTTGTTCAACTATTTCAGTCATTATCAGTAAGATAGATAAGATTTTGTTGCCTACACCCACACACAAAAATGTCAGGATATACTAAAGAAAATTTTGTCTACCACAATATTTATTTCTTGATGAAGGAGACAGTAAGTATTTGAACAAAGACATGATCTTTAAGCAGTTTTCCATAATTTTGGTTTGGATGTACAATTTATTTGGAAATTAGAAAAAACACACACACAAAGAAATAGAAAAAAAAGTAAAGTTAAATTATTTAACAAAACTTGTTTTAAAGGAATTCTTGCTGCCTAACTCCATATATAATTAAACATACATAAGAATGCTGAAAGTTCCCAGTCCAACCCATTTCCCATATAATCAAATGATCAAACTTCCAAATTTTTGGGA